CAGAGTAAATTGCCTTTTTAGTCTTCAAAGTGATGAAGGTCTTAATGTCTTACCAAATAAGAATAAAATTAAACCACAGGCAGAGTCATGCGGACCAGCAAGTCAGATGTTCTGTGAGAAAATGAGAATTTTCTGAAGTGCTTCCCTTACTCCAGCTGAACTTCTTCCTCTTTCAGCTGGTTGAACACCACTATATGAGGCTGCTAGTGAAAGTGTCTTGAGACTGCAACTATTTTACAGGTTAAAATCATCAAGGATTATTTTGATACTGTTGAGCAAAGCTTGTGTGTAACTTTTAGTATCTTCCCATTTTTGGCCGTTTGGAACAGTTATCTGGTCCTGTTCTTTCCCTTAACCATGTTGTAAGGAATACTGCACAAATAGGTTTATTATTGCAATAAAATGAAGCATTGCTATATTTAATAAGGCAACACTGAAATGGCTCTTAAAAATAGTTATCCCTCACTTCTGCAAAAGTCCTTGTTCTACCAGCACTCTTCACAACAAGCTAGATAAGAACTTCCCTACCTCCCACTGGCTAAACATACATGTTAGCAAACACTCTTCTCTAAATTAATCTCTGGGACTGTTGGAAATATGATATGCTGTGTATACTCTGCTATTATAATTTTGAAAATATTCTGATAGCACCTCTTGTAGGAGCAGCTGGATTGGCTGCAGATATGTATATCTTACTGGGTGATCTTTTCCTTTCTGCCCCTTCAGGAATAAAAATGACAACAAGCCTTCTTGTGCTTGTTTTAAATTCTTGTCCTGATCATTGCAGGCAACAGCTTTTAAAACTCCTGTGAATTGTGACTTAAGTCCCTCTTTAAAGTTAATAGCTTTCTTTTCTCCACTGCTCAAACTAAAGTCCATAATCCTCTGATCTTCTGAGCAAATATGTTCATGACCATTTGCGCTTGCACCAATACTGGCGTTTAGCTTAATTAGCTGTTCTGCCTTCTTGGGATTTGCCTCGTGTATTTACAGAAAAATTATCTCTAAGCCTAGGTTGGTGCTGAGTTACCTGTGACGGTACTGCTTAAATATCACTGGAGAATTAAATTTATTGAGGAGACTGATTTGTTTGTTGTTGCAAAGATGTAGCTTGTGGGGCTCGCAGTCAGAGGTGCCGTAACTGCCCAATGTAACTTCCCAGGGCCGTAGGGGCCAGTTCTCCAAGGCTTTTATTGTTCTTAGTATTCTTATTGGCTTCTCTGCTTCAAAATAAAGGTTTATTATTTCCTGAGCATGGGTGTAGGCCAAACTTGGTTACTTTTGAGAATGAGTTCCTCTGTGCATGCAAATTGTTGTAGTGCACAATTGCATTTATCTGTCTTCCTCAGCTTCCTGTTGCCTTATGTGTGGACTTCCAACTCATCCTAGTTACTAGTGCTGGTATGTTCTAGAGTGGAGAAATATAGTTAGAAAATTGTGTAGCTTTCAAGTGCATAAATCCAAACCCTCTTATTTTTATGAGCCAGTAGGTTACTTGTAAATGAATGCTTTCTGGGATGAAGATGTGTGCAGATAGCAGTCGCTGATCAGCCAGGCCTGTAGGGTTGTTGTTCAGCTGAAGGAGCTGGCATAAAGAGTGGTGTGAACCAGCCAGAACTGTAGGGTTGGCTGTCACCTTCTTCCTCTTGTTAGAAGGCATTGGCTGCACAACACATTCTCTGGATCAAAGCTTTAGCAGCTTAGGGTCTACTTTACAAGGAGCACTTGAAAAGTAGTTTTGCAATATAAGTTTAGGACGTTATAAGTTTTCTGCATGCAAACAGAGGTCTTGTTTGGATCTTGAATGGAACAGCTGACTCTAGGGTTTTGCTGTTTGTTTTCTGATTCTGTCAGTAAACTCAGTGCCAGCCATGGCAAAGTACTCCAGCATTCTCCTTGCCTCCCTCATTGCATCCCATAGGTATACACTGAGCACAAACTTGGAAACATAAACTATTATTGTAGTACCTCTTAATCTAATAGCCCATAATGTTTGGAATAGAGTATTCAAATTAACATTCCCCTTTTGTGTTTGGGGAAAAGCAGTGTAAGTGTAAGAGGGTAAGTAGAGACCTCTGTAGGGTTAATGAGTTTGTAGACAAAGTTGTCTTTCTTTTGTGGTTCCTGTTTTAGAAAAATGGAAATTCTGACTTAAAGCAGTTGAGGTATACAGATGCCTGAGAGGTTCTGAGAAATTTTACAAGATAAAATTTTTGGATGAGTGCCTAGCCTAAACCACTTGGAAACCAAGAGCAGCTTAAGAGTGTGTGTGGGCAAATTATACTTTGAGATGCCTTTCTGTATCTTTTTTTTGCCAAAACATAGAAGCTTTCATGCATGAGTTGGATGAAACATAATTTCAGATTTCTGTTTATTACTGAGAATCTTTCATTAAAAGGAAGATTTTTTTTTTTTTGGTGTGGTTTTACCTGAATTTAATGTTTAAGAAAAAAATTGTGCAAATATGCCATGACTCACAAATGTTAGTATATGGCACATGAAAACCCTACTTTGGAAGTCAGTCGATGTGATATCAATTTTCATGATTTAATCAGTTTGATAAGGATCTTTCAGTCTTATTTAAAAGGTCTGAAAACTGTACTGACAAAAAACCCCTTGCCATTGAGCTTGCAGTGGCACCGAACAAACTGTTCAAACCTCTCAGTTCTCCCTGGCATGTATAGGGGTTCTTAAGAGGAAGAAAATGTCAAAATAAATCAAAATAATTAAGGCTGGGGTGATGCTAGAGTGTGAATTGAACAGGGGGAAGACACTAATTTTATTTTTTTTCACTTTTTATTTTTAAATTGAGTTTTATAACAGGTTCTCTAAGCTAGCAGTTTTTGCCATCTGTGTTTGGAATCAGCACTAATAATCTTTTGCAGAAAGCCAACCTTGCTTGTAACTTGTATCAGACAATCTCATGAGATTAGCCATGCACCACACACATAGAAAGAGGTTTTCTTGTTTATGAAGGGCTGTAGAATCATGGGTGAAGAGCCTGCCAGAGTGGGTGGGATCTTGGTATCTTGCCTCTGATTGAAAACAAAGTGGGGATGCAACTCTAGCTTGAAGAAACTGCTCTACAGAATGATGGTATCTGGGAAGTTTAGTAGCAGTGCTGCTTGCTGTGAGCTCTCACAGCCTGTTTGGATGTGCCCTTGCAAACTGTTGTTCAGATAGGGAGGACTGAAGCTCTATTTCCACAGATTTCATTTATTTGAGTGCTGAGAGACATCAGTGAAGTCTGCAGGTGGTTTTGTAAATGCTGTCTAACTCTTTCCTTTAGATTTTAAAATTCAGATAATAAGGCAATGTAACACGCCTTCCCTCATTCTTCTTTAAACAAAAAAGAACAAAGACATGTTAAGATATTATTCTATGCAACAGCTTTTTTCCAGACTTGACTGATCTTGAGCAAGAAACAAAGCAAAATTTTTGATTATTCCAGTTCACACCTGTCCAGGGTTTGTAGTTGCAACATGAGCTTCTGTGCCTGTTGGCTGGGTACTTGCCATTTCAATAGTGTCCAGGGCTTTGGATTAGCAGTGTGGATGCTGCTTGCTGTGTCAGATGGCATAGAAAGTTTTCACATGACAGTTGAAACCAATATGCATACCTGTTCCTAAGCTAAAGGAGTAACATTGTAGATACTCAAAAAATTTAGGATTGTTATCTTTGTTGGTAGTTCTATAATAAGCACTTTTTACTTTTGCCTAATTATAAACCCATTATTTTCTACATACAAATGAAGTTACAGATGGCAGGTTGTTTGAGATGCTGTTGTATCAACCTCATGCAACAAAATCACAATGAAAATCACAGAGAAAATATGTTAGCCAAACAAAAACATATAGAAGGTGGTTGGATATTGGAGTTGCTGGGGGCAATAATCAGTAAGGTGGCTACAGCTCCCTACCAAATCTAAAAGACATGCTATGATTTTGAGAATGAAGTTTTCCTTTGAGTCCTGCCAGTGCCAATATCTTGTTTTAATGGCCTGGTTGCACTCTTATGGCCAGGGGAGCAAATGCAGTGACTCCTTGCGTGATTGTAGTGCTCAGTAGATGCATATGAGGCCAGCATCCTGTCAGCCACATCACAGTGCCAGTCTGTGAGGGCCAAAGGAAGATGCCCACAACCCTGAAGGGCTGTGATGGAGCTGCCTAGTACAGAGACATGTTCAGGGAAAGCATATGCTTCTCTTCTGTTTCTCACCAGCCTTGGCACTAAGCATGCTTCTGAGCATTACATTTGAGCTATTTATTTTTTACTCAGACTTTGACATCCACATCGCTGTAATCCTGAGGCACTAAAATATCCTACCACAGACACAACTAACTCCTCCTCATGCCACTCTTTATTCCCTTAAGGTTTTTTTTGAAGAAGAGGTTTTTGTCTTTGATAGCTGGAATTATCTCTAAGTGGATAGTCCTCTGAAATCATGGCCTATGAAACAGAGACAAATCAGTGTTTCAAATTGCTACTTGTAAATGCAGTTTGGCTTGTATAAAGCAGTGAGGTTCATGTTACCACATGACTTGTAATTACACATACTCAATATGATTATGTATAAATTATTTCACATTTATTCCATATGGTCTGTAGGACAGTGATTTGGCCTTTTTTTTTTTTCTTCCTTTAAATCATTGTAATAAGTGCTCTTATTTTGGTGGGGTGGTAATCTCCCCTTTCCTTCAAATTGTTCTGCTAACTGTAAGGCTGATTTAAAATATACTTGTATAATACAAATGTACCAATTGTATGACACTCATTTCTATGTTTTAGGGTGTGAGTTGTTGTATTGGGGAGGAATATATTTTCATGGCCACCTTGTTCAAGAGGCATGTAAAACAGGTTTGACTTGAAGTGACCATTTGAACTTCATAAAGTCATTTAATCACACTGAAAAACTTGTTTCTTTTAATTAAAAATGCATACATATTGTACTTCCCTGATTCCTGATATTGCAACTTGTTCTTCCTTGTCTCTTTTTTTAGGGAATGTTTTGTTTGTTCTCAAATGCTGGATATGCTGGGTCAATGAACTGTTAATCCAGGAAGCAGAGTTGAGAGGACAAACTGAGAAGACATTATAACGATGGCAAGCAGGAATGCAACACTTTCCCAGAAGTCTCTCATCTAGGGAAACGTGCAAGAAAGCAACCTTTGTGACTCTTTAAACGGCTGACTGTAACCTGGTCCAGGTTTGTCAGTGCCTGCTGAAAAAGACTTCTAGAACTTTAAAGCAGGCTACAAGACTGTCCTCAGCAGGATCCAAGATCTTCCCAGACACTTTACCAGCCCTACACACAGAACAAGATGATTGACCTAAGCTTCCTAACAGAGGAGGAACAAGAGGCAATAATGAAAGTGCTGCAACGGGATGCAGAGCTTAAAAGAACTGAAGAAGAGAGAGTCAGGTAAGGGATCTAGCAACCTCCTTGTCCTGGGAAGACTTACACAATTCCTGAACTGTGTAGCTCAGGAGTAGATTAAAACAGTTGTTGCAGAGGCCCCCATATTCCTCAGTATATGTGGTTTGGAGATTTTTTGCTCTGGGCTAGATTTACCACAGTCTCTGGATTAAATACCTCTACCACACAAATGATTCATTACTGGCCAAAATTATTTTAGACCCTTGCAATTCCCTATGGGACCAAGAGCACCCTGTACACATCTGCCTGGATACACATCTGCCTTGGTTTCCTCAGAAGAGGATTCAGTTTGCAAGTGTCAAAACCACTGCAGACTAGACTAATGCATAGTAAATGAGGGACTTGGCTCAAAAGGAGTGCAAGCAGCCCCAACAAACCAAAATACGGTTGCAGTCAGCAAATATGTCTGAATGCTGAAGTTGTGCCTAAAATATGTGAAACTGCAATACATTTGAGCTGCAGTCCAGAAGTACCAACACCATGCCCCACTGCCAAGAAAAGTCCTTGCAATCCACAGATAAAGCAGAAAATTGCTCCTTAATTTCTTTGTGGTGTCACAGATGGAGCAATGTGTTGTTATTCTGGAGTGGTTTATGTGCTGGAAGGTTTTACTGGAGCTACTGTTAGGGCAACTGCTATGACTAGAAAGGCATGCGTGGAAAGTAGTATTTTTCAGATGCTCTGAGAAAGCTGTCTATCTACACAGGTATAAATAGCAGTCAAATAGTTGCTTCAGCTGACATAGATAGTGCCTGCTCAAGAATGAGGATTTTGGTAGGCATTAGGGTTTTTTTCCAGTGTGAAGGAAATTATGAATTACAAGGTACACAAAATAATATGTGGACAGATAATGAAAAATGGAGCCTGAGGTGCTGAAAACTCCAAGTGCTATAACAGAGACAAATTTTTACAGGCCTCAGTGAAGGCAGGATTTTCTCTCACTGATTTGGTAATCTTCTCTAAGATTCCTTCTTGTTGTGATGTTCCTCATGAAGTAATGTATTTCCAATTTAAATGATTTGAAACTCTTCCAACGATGATTCATGTCTGATGCTTCTATGCTACTGAGAAAGATTTTTTTTTTTTTTTTTTTTTTTTTTGATAAATGTCCTTGGTGTAGGCATACCCTATATCCTGCAAAGGAAAAGGCAGCCAGACTCTTGCCCTAAGAGCAGCATTCCTTTTTTTGAGTATGCTTGTGCAGCCCTGGGGTTCTTTGAGATCAGCAAGTGGCCAGCATTTTGCTGAGTTATTCCACTTGCTTCTTTTAAGAGCAATAAAGTGTAGACCAGTAGCTTCTCCTTGTTAAAAAGACTTTTCCTCTCAAAGCATTTGCTTTGCTGAAGGTAAAATCATTACAGGCGCTGTTCCAAGTTCCTGCCCCCATCTTAATGCAGCCTAAGTAAGTATTTTCGCCACACAGTTTTATCTTCTGCTTCAAAAAGCAGTAAACTGACCTTTTTTGTAACAAAATAAGCGTTTTAGTTACTGAAGGTAGAAAGCCACTGTTTTTAGTCATGGAATGTTATATTGGTGCCAGGTCTGAAAGCATTCCGGATAAGTAATTGTAGATGAGAGTTTGAAAACAACATCTAGAGAAAGAAACCCTTCTTGGAACAGAAATTCAAAAAAACCATTCTCAGTAGTGGTTTGAAAGGACTGTCAGCAAGTATTTTTGTCCCTGTAGCTTTACTTTTGCCATTTAAAATTCTAGTTCAAGAGGGTGTGGTGGAAAATGCAGGTTGTAGCAGCCTGTAATCAGCACGTTTGCTGCTACAATAAAAAGTCTCTTCTGGTTTCTAAATATTACAACTTCTGAGAAGCTGGAAGCTTACATATGAAATGGATTTTTCTGCCTAATTGTGGCACATGAAGCTTGCTTTTCATATCTTATATATATATTAAAACACTACTTGAATTATATCTCCAGCCAAGGAGATACAGTATTTTAGTTTGGCTTCTGTAGCCTTGCACAGCTGGAAGACTCTAAGAGCTGGAATCAACTGTCATCGTACAAACATCAGACAACATGTTATTTATATGTGTGTATAATGGAAGTCTTTCAATGTGATGTTTTTTCCTCTCCAGAAAAAGTTCTCAGGTTTGAAGGGTGTTCTAATAATCTGTGCCCTGTTCTTGGAGCGTGGGTGAATTGGTAACATGACAAAATCCTCTTTGAGCCACTTCCTAGTGGAATTTTACAAATCACCTGATAGAGTCTCTTCCCTGCTAACAGTTCCTAGTACTGCTAATCTAATAAAACTGCTCTGATTAGACTGGCCCATGCAGCCTTCTTAAGGCAGTCTGCTTTAATTCTTGGTTTGTTAAGGGCTGTAATAGGTGTTTCCCCATCTTGTGGCTCCTTTTATGTTGGTTTGAATCAGCATGATTAGTTTTAGGTACAGCAGTGCTTTGGGAACAGCATACCTGCTTCTTCCTTCACCTCTGCTGAGGTCTGTCTCAAAGAAAAGAGGATATTGATGCTCTCATTGGCAAAGGGGTGAAGAAGAAATATCAGATGACAAGAGGGTGTGATGCACAGAAAGCAAAAGACACTGTATGCTTTTTTTATTCCCAGTGTAAGATGCCTCTCTTTCTTTCCTTACACTAGGAGCTGCAGCAGGTCACTCAATGGTAGTGTTGCTGGGGATAAGGCAAAGGCATAAAACAAGAGTCAGGTGACAGTTTATCAAGACTAGAAGCTGTTTATCAGTGTATTACTAACTTTATTATTTTGGTTTTATCATCATTCCTGTCTAGGAATCTCTGATATGCCCTGCTCCAGCATTGAACAAATGAGTGGGCTACGTACACAACTGAATGTCCTGGCAGTAGCTTCAACATAACCCCTAACTCCTTTTACAGATGCATAGTTCAGAATTAACTTAACTTTGAGCCCTTTCTGGAGACAGTAATGTGAGCAGAAATATCTCTGTCTGATCTGAAGTTGTGGAGTGTGGTTGGATGACTCTTCTGTGGTTTGAGTAGTTGGTCCCCGGCACCAGCGTGTCTAAGGCAGATGTTGTGGTCACCTTTGTGACAGGGTTCCCTGCTGTGGCGATCAGCCCTTCCCAGCAGAATCTCCTAGCAGTGCTCCTTTGGGCTGTGCTTGGGATTGTTTGCTCCTGGTGTAAACTGAAGGAGGTTAATGACAGGGGAAGTTCTGATGTGGAGTTGCTTGTGTGGTAGATGGGGACTGCTGTGTGCCAAACCCCTTTGATACATTAATTGGTGTGGCATTGCAAAAATAGAGAAAGCTTCAGGGGTCTGATTCTGCTGGGAGTGTGTGCCTGTTGAAAGCCTATTGTAAATATTATTTTGACTGACTAGTTCTAACAGATATCCTTTGCAGTTACTTTTCAAGGCAGGGTATTGATAGTAGACTTATCATACACAGACTTCTGAACAAGCATAAAATGGAAGAATATGCATTACTTCAAACAGAATTGGCTTGTTTTTATATGTATCCAGCTACTTCTAACTCTCAGAAATCTTGTTGTCTAGAGAGACCCCAAAAGTAAGAATAAGAGGTGTTGCTTATGAGGAATTGTGATGACAGGGATGGGGAAAGGTTGCATAATTCCATAGGTCTGCTTTTTTTTCTAATATAGCCCTCAAACAGTTTGAAATTATATTACTCTGTTGTTTAAACCAATTAAATAGTAACTGATGGGCTTTTTTGGGTTTTAGGGTTTTTATAAAATCGTGTGTAGCTGCCATGCAAAAGATAGCTTACTTGCAATTTTGATTGTCCACTGCAAATATTTTGGGTGTAGCTCTCAAACAAATGTCTGAACAGACTTTCTTCCTATACCTTATATAGATATTTGCAGACTAAAGAGGCATGCTCATACAATGTGCAATGTTTAAACAATTACTGCTTTGTCCTGTAAAATTTTGGTATTTGTTTCCTACTCTCAAAGAAGAAAAAGGAACCTAATCCACAAGTTTGGCTCATAATGCCTAGTCTAATATAATTTTACTCCTGTTCTTGCATAAGTGATACCACAAAAAGTTTGTCTTCTCTGTGTTCAGAAAGTGACCCAGAACCTAAATCATTTGTCTTTTTGTTAGTTTGTGATTTGTTCTTATGTTGGCAGCAAATAGAGTTGATAAAATTCATCAAAATTCTCTTTCCTTTCAACTTCTCCACTTACTTGGTATTCCATTTGCAGAAGGGAGGTTTTGGAAGTTAATTTGTAGATAAGGTGTGGTAATATCAGGATTTTTAAAGGCTTTATTTTGCTATTGTATTCTAGGGTGCTTTTTCCATATGTTCAGATTAGGGTGTGTGGGACAGTAATGTCTGTCTTTGAGGCAAACACAGACCTTGATCTAAATACTCCTTCATTCATCATGAGGAGTCCCAGAGTATGCTGGCACCACGCAGATTGTCCTGTCTGAAAAGCTCAGCTGAAGCAGTCAACTGGGGTATAAGGCAATCAAATAATGTATTAAGGTGTCAGTAGTCACATCTTGCAAATTCTGTAGTGATTTGTAATGTAGGCTATGAATAAGGCAGGTGCAGAAGAGGGAATTGAGACAACTGAGGAGGTGTAGATCAAGTTTTAGATACAGGTATGTGTTGCTAGATACTCTTTTTTTCAAAAACAGGGATGAGTTGTTACCTCTTTGCTCATGCAATGACCTGTTACAGTAGCCTACAAAGCATAGGATAAACCATTCTGGATTTGGTGATAAGAAGGCTGACGGAGACTGATTTTATCAGAGCAGATTTCCTGACTTACAGTGATACCATATGATCTGGCCTATTATCAGATGTTCCAGACATGGAGAGGAACAACCCAATTAATCCATGCACAGATTTTCTGTTTGCTTGCATAGTGGTGGACAGTTGGTTTGTATTCTGTTCAGTGCAATCTGCATGTACTTACTGCCCTAGGGGAGAAGACAAATTTTCCCTCTTGCCATAAAACGTTTCACCTTGGCATAGTGGAAACATCATATTAAATAATGGGAACTCCATGTTATTCAGTCCAAAATTCTCTTTTAAATTTCCTTTTAACTATGTACCCTTTCTTGAGTTTAAAGTTCCTATAGGAGAAATGGGCACTAGCTTCATTATAGCTTTAGCCTGTTCCCCTTTGAAAAACTGCAGTATAAGTTTACTGGCATTTTAACAGAGCACAGAGGGACTCCAAAATACGTACTTGTATCATACATAAAGCTCTTGCTGCATTTTCTCCTAATTGCAAATTGGCAACTGAGCCTGCAATCTGATTCTTGATCTGGATGTTTACTAGCTCTTTGATCACCAGGAGAAACATTTAGAGGCAACTTCGTCAGCCTCTTTGTTAACTGGGGAGATGGCACAGAATCGGTTGCTGGCTTCTAGTCCTGTTGTGGTTTGCTGGGAGGCTGATATAGCTGTGGAAAACCATGGCTGCAGTCTGATTCTCCACAGTTCCTTTCAAGGTAAACCACAGTCTGTGTCTAATTCCTAGCAGTCAAACAGGCCAACATGGTACAAGCAGTTTGATGTTACTGCTAAGACCTCCTCCTAGCAAATCTTGAGAATTCAAGATTTGTAAATCTTTTGTAAAACTTCCCATTTGTTGCAAAAATGGCCACAGGCATTACGAGTCTATGATGTATTGGTGAACGCAGGAGGCTTAAAAACTTCTTTGTTGTCAAAACCTAGAACTAATTGTCTTTCTGATAATGGAAAATTAAAAAAAAATCTGTTTCTTGTTTTGTGGCTGGAGAATACCTGGAAATAGCTTTAATACTTAGGTTGTTCTGATTTCCTCAAAAAAAAGGGGACTGACAGGCTAAGCACCTCTCTTGAAAAGGTAAGCCAAGCTTACTCTGAGGTGAGATAGTAAAAGTCTGTTGCAAATAAGGTGCTGTGAGCATCTGTCAGTTCTCACCATACAAACCATATCAGGCAGGCAGGTCATTTGTAAAGGAACTTCTATGTAAATTGAGAGCACATTTATACCTTTGTTAGCAAGCATAATTCATTTTTAGTTCTCAAAGTCTAGAAAGCCTGTTGAGCTGGTGGAGTTAAGGTACATTAACTCCCACAGGCAGCAAGCAGAAGTAGGAGCAGAGTGCTTGACTTTCACTCCCAAATAAAATGAGAGCTGCATTGGCCAGGTGACATTTATTGAGTCTAGAGCTATGGCAAATCCCCATCTCTGTCTCTGTCTGGTTATGTTAACTGGTCTGAGAGTCCTGCAGGCAGGTAAGCAGGCTGGAACAGCTGAGGGGTCTGGGATCCCATCCCCTTCCACAGCTCAGCTGAGCTTCCTCTGCTCTGAGCTGACTTGTAAAGGTTTCCAACCACACCCCAGTTTCAGTACCTGAATACCAAGGGGAGAGGGGTGAGCAGTGTCTGGGGTTAAAGGATTGAGTCAAACAGGGTGAGGACATTGAATACTTGTCCTGTGACTCAGTACCGCCTGCTAGAGAACCTCCCTCGGCATATGTTGTCATACTGTCCCAGAGCACTTGCTGCGGTCAGAGCTCTGCTGCCCTGCAGGCTGTACAAACAGCTGAAAAGGCAGTCCCTAGCCCTAAGGGGCATCACTTCTGAGAAGACAAATAACACGTGTGAAAGAAGGTGAAAGGGAGAAGCAGTCACCTGTGTAAAAAATTTCTGTGTTCTACATTTCCATTCTTCCTGCTGGCTGCATTTATAAACTGAGTAATGTATTTGCTGGAGAACAAAGGGAAGCTACTGCTATGTTCCTGCTTCAACTTAGAACACCTGCTTAGGAAAGGTACATATTTTGGCCCTTAGAGAAGCACATAGGGAGGAAGAAATTTTAAATGACCATGTAATACTCGGCACTGTTGAATCTTGGAATTAAAAATGCCAGTGGTGACCTCAACATCTGGCAGCATAAACTGCATGTAGTAGATTTGAGGCACCCCTAGGAGGGACTGATTTTTGACAGTACTTACAAAATGAAGTTTTAAGTACTGAAATTCTAATATCTCTGATGCATTCAATTAAGGCTTTTTTCTTATCTGGCTGTACAAAGATGAAGAGGAGTTGATTGGCAGATGAGAATGGTCTGTCTTTGTGTGAGGGTTGGGACTGACCCAGTGTCCTTCCTCTGCTGTCAATGACTATCGATGTCTGTTGATGTCAATGACTATTGTGACAGTCAAATCTGCAGCCTATAATAAAATGCCTGTCATCAGAGTTAATTGATTGTACCAGAAGATCTGTCCCCTAAACCCATGAGAAATGTCATACTCTGGTGAACTTCCTTAGGGTTGGGGTAGATGTTTAGATCTTTAAAGGTCCCTCCCAACCCAACCCATTCATGATTGTCCATCAGGCCTGTGAGAGATAGCACCATTCCATAGTAATGTGGATTATGCTTAGCCTTCAAGTCTCACTAAATGGATCTTACTTGATTTCTCCCTTGGGCTCTGTTATTAGCTTGTTTTGCTGAAGCAAAGGACATAAATGAGAAGGAAGATGAAGCGTGACTTGACTTTTTTTTTTTGTTTAAGCGCTCTCTAAATCTGTGTGGTAACTTTCCTGATCTGCAGGTTAGTCTCCAGGCCATATGTAAGCATATGCCTGTTACATGCCCAACAAGGAAAAAAAAAAAAACCTCAGAAATTGACCACAGCTATTACTTATTTTGTTAAAGCACACCTCACAAGAGCAGGAAAACCCTGAAGCTGGAAAACAAATTCTTAAAAATTTGTCTCCCAGTTTTTAAAATGGCTGCAGCGCATGATGGATACATGCAGATTAATAAAATAAATGGTGCAAACTTATTTTTTTGTTTCTTCCATGTGATTGTTTGTCTTTGTAACTCATTCTATTCATATAAGGATTTTTGTGTAATTTATGGAAAAAACGGCACCATGCTTCCAGTACACATTTGTAATGTGTGTGTAAAAGCAGTGCCAAAAGAAACCCTGAAGAAGCATCTCTGAGCCCCAAAATAGCCAAGCTCTTAATTTTGCTAGAGACTTTTTATGCTGTTCTACTAGCTTATCACAGTTTTAATCTTGGAAAACTGGCCTTTGAAGGCAGGAAGTCAAGATCTGCAGTTACTGGAGACTTCTCTAGTCCTTGAATGTTTATCATAGCAAAGCTGGTAATTTTTTTTTTAGTTACCCTGAGAGCATAGGTTGAAGTAATAAGGCTGAGGCTCTTCCCTTTCCAGCTCATCATAACTAAATAAGGAATGTAACAGGTGAGAAGATGGAAATAGCATGTGGAGACAGTGTTAGAAAAAAGTCAACCAAAAAAATCCACCCCCCTGCTCCCCAAAAGAAAAAACAAGCAACCAAAAAAGTCTGACTCTTTTTTTCTGTTCACATAGGTAGGTATGTGAAGTATGTTTATATCTCATTTATTAACTTTTCTCTTCCTCAGGCATTTACCAGAAAAAGTCAAAGACCATGTTCAGCTAAAGAATATGAGTGGGCAGTGGTTTTATGAGGCCAAGTCAAAGAGGCACAGGGATAAGATCCATGGAGCAGACATTATCAGAGCTTCCATGCGCAGGAAACCTGCCACCATCGGTAAGCATTTGATTTGTACTTTATTTTGGAAAGGCTGGCTCTTACTTTGCTAACCTTAGACAATGTTGTCTGTGAAATTTAAGAATACTGGTGTCTCTACAAGTGGAAAGTGATGCAAAAAAGAGACTTCCAGTGTAATTTACACTGTAAGCTTTCCTCTCACAGTTCTCTATATTAAAGAGTGGTGACTGCTAACAGAAGGGACTGGTTTGTGTAGGATTAAAAGCTTTCTGCACTCCTGAACTCATTCTCATTTCCATTTCTATGTCCCTGTGAGATACTTAGGAACATGCAAAGAATCCAAGATTGAGGAAATTGCTCTTTAACGTGGGTTTCCAAGATTTCAGGGCTTGGTTTGAGACCTTTGAGGCTTAATGGCAGGCATCACAAGCTAGAGATAGTGGTTAGAACTGACTGAAATATATGTGCTGAAAGCTCTGGCAGCTGCACCTGGCATCCTGTATCCAGGTGAGCTTTAAGTGCACCCAGAATCCCCATGCCGTGGTGGGTGCCCTGGTCAACATTAACTTTATCCCTTAGATGGAGGGAGTGAGCAGTCAATCTGTATTCACAACAACCTATTATATAATATCTAGGATTTTGTAGACCCCCATTATAAATCTCTCAGCATCTGACTTTTAATCTGGAGTGTCCTGGTCTATTTTATCATTCTTCCTATAGAAAGTGATTTATTTCTTAGCAAAACTGACCTACATCCCCTTTTAACGTCCTCAAGTTGTACTAAGCCCTTTTGATTTAGAAGGGCAAGACTTATATTATTCTTACCAGACTGTACTGATGTTTGTACTATTTAGCTTTTTTAGTTCTATCAAGGGATTTTGCTTTGTGCTAGTGAAGCAAGTAAGGTACTTCCTTCCATACTGACTGGACTAGTGTGTTGTTTCCTATGGGTTTTGTAACCACGAGTTACAAACCCTGTCTAACCCTGTAATATTGCACCTTCTCAATTTCAATATTTTCAGAAATGATTTTGAATAATGTCAATTTAGTCAGTTTGAGGTTACTGCTTTGAGTTTTTAAGTTAAAAAGGCCTGAAACAGAAAAGAATGCAGAAAAAAAAATAAAATCATAGGTGGTTAGTGTGGTGTGTTTGTCATTTTGGCTGGTTTTGTGCTTAAAGGTTATGAAAATCGGCTGTAAAATTCTAGCTAAATTTCACAGTAACTTGTATCCTAAAGGAAAGTACTAAAAGCCATGCCATTTTAAAGCAAAGTTAATTAATCCCAATCTTGTTACTTAAACAAAGGGACATGTTGGTACATTCAGAACTATGTACAATTGTTTGGTTTCAATGACTCATGAGATGGCAAGATACTTTTCCCTGCAGTTATAGATAGCTAAAGTGTGAATAAAAATCCTCCTTCTTTTTGCACACTAAGAAATTCTTTACTTCAAAACTGTTAGTGAAGTGGAAAAGGCATTAGAGGAAATAATGGAATGTTTTTGCTCTGAAAGGGATTATCAGAATAGGATTTTGTCCCACCCTAAAAAGAAATGCAAATGTATTTGCATTTGCTCAGTTAGGTGGGGCTTTTTGTTTGTTTGGTTTTTTTATATTACCTCTTTAATAACTTGTGATAATTCTGTCCATAAAGGATTAGCCACCTGTCTAAGTGAGTTATGACCAACTTCTAGTTTACTGCTTAGGAAGGGAATAATTGACTGGAATTCAACATATTTTGAGTTTCCTATGGCTTAATCATTTTTGCTTCCTCAGGACACTGAGGATGAACTTTCCTTTGTCTAACTGCATGAACTGCAGGATTAGTCTTTACCAGGGTTCTTGTATAAAACTCCTCCATATAAGATCACTTTAAGGTTTAAACCATGTATATCTGGTGTAGTAGAATGAAGTATCCAGAACAGTATTTTACATGTTTAGTAGCATTAAAAAGGTGCTCTTTAGAAGGCACCAGATCTGCTTCTAAAAACATTTCAAGTATAGTGGCTTTTAGAAATAGCTGTAGGCCTAAATGCAACTTGCTACTTGTACTTCTTTCTTAAGAAATCTTGTATTAACATGTGGGAAACAACAATATTGTTGCTTCATGTTTTAGCTGAAGTGGCTCAGAACAAAAGAAGCAAAGCAAAGATCAGCTGGGTGAACAATGTTAATAAAGAAGGCTTCGTGCCACCAGATCTACATGGCATTGTGGAACATCAAGAAGAAGAGCAACAGAAAGCTAGTTTGAGGTAAGCTGTCTGTTTATCATGCTTAGAATGTATATATATAGACTAGTGAAACTTGGGAGCTGGAAGTTCCACCCAAAATACTGCACTTAGGTCTTATTTCAAAGGTCACCAAATGTTCCCTCAGAATTATACAAAAAATCTGTGCATGTGACAGACACATAATCATGTATTGTTCTGCATTTGAATATAGAACAATTAACAATTTTCAGCTTGCCTTTCTCAGAAAAAGCTGACAATCAAGCATAGAATGGTCCCACACATGTTCTCATGTCACAATTTATTTTGGTTCCTTGAAGTGAGACCTGGATTTTCTAGTTAGAATGGCTGGCCATGATCAGTCCCCTGCAGTCAGTAAATGGGGGCCACAACCTCTGCATCTCTTCATTCAGTTGTTTACTGAAACCATTCTATCAATTAAGCCTGAATTTCAAACTTGGATTACAACATTATTGAGGTTAGAAAAATCTGTAAAATCATCAAGTCCAACCATTAACCCAGCACTGCCAAGGCCAGCACTAAACCATATTCTCAAGTGCCACATCCACATGTTCTGAACACTTTGTATCACATGAAGAATTGGAGACTAAGAAATTGCTGTTTAGAACTTTCCAAATTATGTGAAATATAGTTTAAGGCTTCTGAGACCTTTTAAGAAGACCAAACATATTTCAGATGGAAATAACTAGGATCTTTAGATAGCTGCTGAAAATTAGTCAGATTCTACCAAGAAAAGTAAATGTCTTTCTGGAATGGAGAAGCTTTCCTTCAGAGTAACATAAGACAGTCATCCTTGGCATGCCTGAATTACTACAGTTGTCAGGAGGACTGGATGATAAGTAGTTTCTGAACTAAAACGGATTTCGTATAAAATCACTTTATCTCAAATCTGTAAGCATCCCAAACAGCTTTATTTTCCTTTGAAATATCCTGAATTAATTTCTGAAACAGAGATGTCTTCTCTTTAAAATATCTCCGTGTAATTTATTGGCTGTGTTAAAAACTCCTAAAAAGCCTACATTTGAGAAGGAAAGTGCTGAAACACTGGAGTCAGAGCAGGTGAAAGTAAAATATCTTAAAATGGCCAGATTCCACAACACACTGAGGGAACAAGAACCAGGGTATAACCCAGATAGCTACTATAGTAGCTATGTAGTTATGGTGAATAGAGTGAGGTAAGAGAAGTTACTTCTTAGGGGAACTGTTTTACTTCTGGTTGTGCCATTGATCAGCCCTGTAACCTGTCACTTTCTTGTCTGTCTTCTAAGTTCTTCTCTGTACATCATCTGTTTTTTCTTTGCAGTAAGACTTCTCCTACTATGCATTTATATAATACCTAGTAGCAATTGAACCTTTCACTTTCGTGGTCTGCAGTCTGGGCACACACATTCATGTTGAATGGCAGCAAAGGTTGGTGTGAGTCCTAACAACTCTGGCTTGTGTTACTGGTCTTTGTTATATTTATTTTATCACTCAGTGAACTCAGAGGTGTTTGTTTTGACATCTGAAATTGTGCTGAAAAAGGTCAAATAAACTGCTTTGCTATAGACTCACCAAAAATGAAGTCAAAATTTGTCCAAAAAGGATGACAAAGATTGCTTATCACAAGACAGAGCTCTGTTTCCCCTCCCAACTGACGTTAACTGATGTGCTGACAGAGTTAGTTGTTACTAAATGTAGTTTTTTTTACAGGTGGCTTTTACATTCAGGGGTTTGCTGTGAAGTTATTTCTTTAAGAACACCAGAGGACATGCTGCTGTTTAATATATCTTTCAGAATATTTTACATATCATCTTGCACACCAGGAAAAGATGATGATACTTTTAGAGAAGTGCAGCCTTATTATGCTATTCTTTTAATTACAACTCTACACAAGGTGTATATGATTGGTAAGGTATAATAGATTTCATAATATGCCAGAGCAACCTCTTCAAAAATACATAACATAGCAAGGTTTAAGAATATGTAGACAGTCTTTTTTAAAATGAGACCAACTTGATAGTGGTCTTCAACTTGAAGTGATTTGATGACTTATTTCAGATCACAGCCATGCAAAGCTTGATAATTATTTTCCAGAACTCTCTCCTGCCTTTTGCTCCAAATTGTACCAGAAGTTAATCAGCCTCCAAGGCTTGTTCATGTGTACTTGTACTTTCCTCAATAGCTCAAGATCTTCTCTCTAAAGCAAGCTTACACAGTCCAGTGATTTATGAGACTGTTGGAAATGGACCTTGGGAAGTGATATGTGGGCTGGATGCTTACTTACATTGATTTTGCATAAGTAACTTGATTAGATGCCTCAGATCATTTGTTTCTAAAATTTCAAAACCTATGGCAAGCAAATGTGGCAGGACTGTGAAACTCATGATTTCAGTGTGGGCTTAATTCACTCTAACTGGGGTTAGTTTACACAATATTGCATGTGAGAAATTGCAGGATGCACCATATGCTTTTTAAAATACTCTTTCTTTCTGTTCCCTTGATTGTTCCCTGGAATTTGAAAGAGACTGACCTTGCATAACTGTGGGCTTGTCTCTAATGGCAGAAGGAAACAATGGTGCAAAAGCAATAACCCCAGTAGTTGGGGTGGGAAGGGAGAGTCTACAAATATTTAATTTGGCTACTAAGATAATGGAGCCACAAGGAATTAATGGGATCTTCCTCTTAAAATGCAATAGTCTTAACACAGCTAAGAGGATGAAACAGAGTATCATTCTAGAATTTGGGATTGCATTAAAGGCAGTTCACAGCTTACAATGTCCAAATGCTACATGCTGTTCAAGCACTTGGACTTTTGAAGCATTTTAAAGCGCTGCTTTTAGAATAAGGTTGTGGGGTTTATGGGGTTTTTCTGGGTTTTTTTTTTTTCCCCTTCTTTCTCTAAGAGTGTGCCTCAGACCAGCACTGACAGGCTTTGCATAAACTACAGAGCTGCTAACTTGAGGATTGGTTCCTGAAGCTATGTGACAACAAATTACTCAGAGTACTTTTGTTCTGGATCCTGTTCTTAAAATAAAACAATTCTTACTGAGTGTAAAGAAAGTTCAGTTCTGGTAGATCTGTTTGTAAACTGATAGGGATAAAATCCAATCCTGGGGCCAGTTCAACTACTGTTGAATCAGGGTGCTGCTATATTAGGTGGAGCAACAATATTCTTAAAATTAGTGGTGACCTTTATCTCCACACCCCAAATATCTAAATTCCATAATGAAGCTATGAATTATTTCTTTGAGTGTTATATCATTGTGATAATTTTCTTGCATACCAGAGCCTTTACAGGCCAGGTGTATGAAGTGTCTTTGAAGGTGTAACCTTGAACAGAATGAGTTTTCCAGGGTGAGTCACACTGTCAATATTACCTCTCTCCAGTGATGCCATCTGTCTATATGCTGAATCTCAAAAAAAGGAGGGCTGTCTTTAAAATTAAGATTTGTAGGTTGTTTTCTTCCCTAAGCTAGAAAGTATTCTTGATCAACATTGAGCAGGTGGTCCTGAAGTTCAGCAAGTGGAAAACCTGCACAAAATATCCCTGTCTTTTAAAATCCATGTATTGACAAGGTCTGCAAATCTGTAACCGCTTTCTCTAGTTTTGCTCCTTCCTCTTTGCCTTGTTGCCTCAGTCTGTATGGGACTTGGGCCTTCATTGTGGTTCTTGGCACATCATTTTTCCAAGCTGAAGTGTAGAATTTTTTAAATCTTTTTTAATCTATCAATTTGGCCTTATACAATTTTAGATTAACCTTGTGAATGCAGCTTATCTGGGAACTGTTTGTTCAGTTTTCTTATCTATATGGGTTGTAGGTAAACTCATTTTCAGACCCTTTGTTGTAAAACTTAGTTATAGGATCCTGGCTGTTGTTTTTTCTCTGTTTTGCTATATTTAAGCCAAGGTTTGCAGTATGTAATGCCAAGTTAATAATCTTCAGTTATTCTATGGTAAGTGCAAAGAAGCATTGCATTAAAGATTGTGAGATTATGTTTCATTGAACACACACAAAGTTACCTCTCCACCTGTAGAAGCTGCATTGAAGATGTCTTAACAGTTTCTTGCAGCCCAGGGTGCTTAACAGTATTTTCCTTGCTTAAAAGGAGTGAGGGGTTGAAATATCTGGGACCTAACCCTTAAAAACAAAAATCATGATTGTTTTGTTCAGTAGTAGCTGGTGCAGAGAAGACACAAAATGCAGGAGCATACAGGTATAGTGCTCTCAAAAACAAAAACACAAATGCTTTATAAAAGCAAGAATACAAACTCCATTTTCTGTAGTTTCTTTAGTATGTATGTCTATTTTCACACTTAAAAAATATATTAGAACTAAGGTTAAAAACCATAATGTGAAAGGATATTTTGGAAAAGAAACTAGAAGTTGCAACATTTACCTCTTTAATTTTTCACCCTTGAGATAGATTCCAGTACAAGATCTGCTCATACCTTAACCCTCTCTCACTATTCATGGTGGTATATTTCTTTAAGGTGGTATTGAATCAAGAGCAAAGAAGGGATATAGAAGTTTATAGTTCAGATTGTAACTGGTATTTTTTTTGGTCTTATGTTCACACTGCTCACTGTGGTCATTTTATCTTCTCCATAATTATGTTTTACCTTTTGCAAAATATAAGTGATGTCACTGCTCAGACACACTTAGCAGTCCAGAGTATAGACTTTCAAGGGTAATTATCACAGAGTTTTAGGGGTTTTTTTCTCCCCTGAACTTTGAGCTTAACTGTGCAACCTGGAGAAGATGGGAAAATTGTCCTTCCCTCAGGGGGGCAGACTGATACCAATTACCAGACTGGAGAGATAGTTGTCAATGAAAGGAGGTGAATCTGGAACTTGATGAAAGGTGGATGCTGTTTCTGTCCTGAGACACCTTGTGGTTCTCCTACTTAACACCCTTGAGCCTTTTCACGCAAAACAAAGATCATGGAGCAAATAAATATTCAGTTTTGGCATCTCTTTGCACATCTACATTGGAAAAACCATAGGAGTTGCTTTCCTTCCTAGCCTGAGATATAAAATTTTTTCTGCTTCATACTGTTCCTCCACCTCAGAATCCTAAGTGTGTATCTTGGTTAATGCCAGTGTTTTCCATATAAAATTAGGGTACTGAATATGGTTGTTATGTGAAGACAATATTGAAATCCACGTCTAACTTCCATCTTCAAAAACGCAATACTTTTTCATATCTGAGATGTTTAGGTAAACTCAAATAGTAAAAATCTGATTGGAAACAAAAAACCTTGCATCATTCAGCAAGTAGATGAAGTATTTCTTGAGATGATATAAGCGCTGTCTCTTCTAGCTATTTTAATTTCTCCATATCTGGGCTATATTTATATTATCACAAGTAATAACTTACTTCACTTATGCTATCAATCAAGAAAATTTATACATTTCAATTGAAAGAATAGCTTATAAATTGTACCTCTGGGGGGATGTGTTGTCATCTGTGGCATGTCACATCTTCACTATAGTGGTGATGGGGTTTCTCTGTTTTTTCTGACCTTAGACACTTTGCAAAGCTCTATTTTTTTAATCAGATTTTGACACTTTCCTCCACTTTGATTTTATTCCTAGAAGTACAAATGTAGGACAAGGATGGAGTTGGCAACACTGATATTGTTTGGAGAGTAGCTATATTTAGTATATTTATAGTAAATATAAAATATATATTTACGCTTATTTTTTATAAAGCTTGCTCAGACATCTAAGATGTATCAAAAATGTGGTTTCTGTCATGCCAAGTAGAAGTTGTATTGAATTATTTAACAAGTAAATACATCTTTACAAGGAAAGAAGGCAGCAAGAGTATCCCCCTTGCTATAGGAATGAGAAGCTTTTCTTCTAAATGTGATGAGAGCAGGCTAAATAGAAAACCTCAGGGGCCAAGTGTTTATGTTTTAGTATGTATAACTGGATCTTTGTTCTGTTTTTTCAAACAGGCTTTAATGTTCTGTTTACTGAAGTTGTTATATAATTTTTCTTTGCAGTTCTAAAGAAGCAAGCCCTGTGTTAAACAAACCAGAGGAAAGACCTGTGAAGGCAGCAGTCTCATCAGTAAGGGTATGACTGATACTGAATATAGTGGAAATTATTTGCTTCATTGGTAAACATAAATAAAACTTTGAGGAGGAACAATAATAATTTGTAAAAAAATGATCATTTTTTTTTGTTTTGGACAGAGGTAATGAAAGCCACTACAGGTTTAGCACTAAAGTGCTGCTACACCTATAATTGGTGGCTGTTCTTGGCATGATTTCCAGTCTGTTCAACTACTGAAAGTGATTGGCCTGCTCGGTTCTAATATCACAGAATTAGAGATAATTTTATTGAACTTGCAAGGACTTGGGAGTTTTCAAGTGTCTTTAAGTGGTGGCTTATCTCTGTTTTGGTGAGTTCAAAAGAACAAGATGAGGTTATCACTGACACTTCTGATAGTTTCCTGTTCGTATTGTTTAGGTTTTTTGTCATGTATCCAATTTAAGAGGTATGCCTTCAGACTCTTTTCTGATAGATAGTGGGGAAGAGGAAATCACTGCACTTGTGTCTGTCTGTCATGTAAGAATTTGACCGCAACAGTAATGTTTGTTCCTATTTTAGCAAAGGAGAAATCCATTTAATTCCACTACATCAGATGATAACTTGAACAATGGGGAATCAGAAGACAGACCAGCCATTGTACCTCAGCTATCAAAGAAGGGTAAATATACTTGTTTAGCAGATAACTGTGAATTTCCTGTAGGTTTATAGGGAAATTATTTTTACTTTCATTGCTTCTTTCTGAAAGAGATCAAAACCCTTTTTGTCTTAAGTACTGTGAGTTGTTAACTAGCTTATTTCAAACCTCATCTAAAGCATGTGAATATACTCGGGAAATGGCTGTAGACATGAGTAAACTGATTTTGCTTCCTTTCTTTTGCACATAGTTCTAGTCAGTACTAAGCACTCCTTCTGAGATGGCTGCTTGTCCTGAAGTTCTAACAGAAGGACAGTGAAATTTCCTTGAATTTGACATAGCTGTCTTTATGAGCTTCCAATCATTGCTGCTAATTAGCAAGACAGAAGCAGCCTAGCTCTCTTTGGTCTATACCTTTTTCCTTTGTTTCCTTAGTCCTGTTTATTATCCTCCCTTTTCAGCAGTATTTTCTGCAAGCAAGTTGATGAGTGATTACATATCACAATACAGGCATTTGAAGTTGTAATTTAGAGTCATATGTAGCTATTACTCTCCTGTCTCTGTTGTGAAGCATGCTAACAGGAAAAGGAAAGATTTGCATAGTGGGAACATAAAACCCTTCATCTCCCTGCCAGGAGATTATTTCTGCATTTGCCTTATTCCATATGACTGTGGAAATAGCCAGTTTCCATTTTTGTAGGTTGCTGTTTGTGTTCTGACACTAAAGAGGTGTATGTGTATTCAAAAGCTGCCCTTCCCTGCAAACATTATCCCCCGCAGGAAAAATGTTGATAAAAAACTTGGTGTGCTCTCTTTGCTATCGTCAAATATGTAATGTTTCTAAAATGAGAAATAATAGCAAGCTTTTAATTTCCTAAAAATTTCAATTACATAAAAATGAAATCAACACCTATGTAAAATTACTGGATGTGTTTTTGCTGCAGTTGTTTTTAATAAACCAGTATAATCACTGGTTTATATAATCACTGCATTTTAGATCTGCACTGTCACATCTTTCCGTTTCTACTGGCAAATGTCACGTAAACTCATGAGCTCTTCTATGTCTTACAGAAATTTGGTCAGTCTCAGAAGACAGCCCACCTAAATCAAACTTACAAAATGATGAATCAGATAAACCTGAGAAGCCTTTTGTAGAACTTACTGATCCATCACAGAAGGAACTAGTTAATCGTCCTGTCCCAAAAGCTAGGAAACTAATTCACAAAGCAGCAGATTCTGTATCACAAAGAGAAGACCTTGCTCCCAAACCAACCAAGCAGACCGAGAGGATTAATGGCATTGGTACCCCACCCAGGGGCATTCTGAAACGCAGCTCAAGCTCAAGTTCCACTGACTCAGAAGTTCGGGTCAGTCAGATGTTAGATGTCCAGAAAAGGAATGATCTTTCTACCACAACTATTTTTGAAGGGGAAGGTGAGAAGAACTCTGTTGTGGAAGAAGCAGAAGATTCCACACAAAACTCACTGGAAAAACTGAAACAAGTGAGGTTTTCATCTAGCTCAGGTAAAGGAAAACCTCTGCAAAGCCCACAGCTATGCCATGTTAAAGAAAAAGGAGACCATGATATCTTAAAACCTGACAAAAAAAAGAATAGTGGAAATTGTGCTGTTCAATCAGATTCACTTGGTGATAGGCAAATTCCTGCTGCAAAGCCTTTGGGAACCTATTTATCAGCTTTACAAATGAAAACAATAGATGGCTTACAAGAAGACACATCTGCATCTAGCCCTCGTGACAGTAACAGATCAGTCTTCCCAGTTAGTGAAAGCTTCCAGACAAATACAATTACTCCCAAGAAACTTGAAACCCCACAGAAGACCTCCAGCAATATCCTGTCAAACAGCAATAATGAACAGAGTGTTAATGAGACACATGAAAAAAAATCCAACCAGATCCTGATCCAACCAGGTAAGAGTCTAATAGAAGTGAAGAATGGAATGAGATGGGATATAACACATTCACATAACACATTAATGTGGATCACTTGTAGCTAGCAATTAACAACTAGGAAACAGAAGTAGTAGGAACGGGCTACTGCAGTAATGTGCTACTGCAGAATTAAAAAAATCAAATTTTTAAAAATACTTCTATGATCTCCTATTGGTAATCTTATCAGAGCCAGTATAGGCACCTCTGTTGTGAATGTTATTTTAGTGTAGTGCTGTCAGTTGTCCTTGGGAGTAATTCAGATGTGACTTAGGGATTTGCTTACGGGACTAAACACAAATAATGCTGGATTGTCATCCTCTGTGTGCCTCCCTTCAATGAAGGCATATCCTTTAAGAATGGGCTTAACTCATCTTCTTGGCTTGTACCCTCGGAAGTAATGATTCCATGTCTCAGAACAGGAATTTTCTTCATTCTCGCCCATGGTATAGTTCTTTCCAAAATCACAAGGACAGAGAACTCTTTTTCTCCACTAACAGTTAAAAAAATTCTGAGAATTTTCTAGGTAGACCAAACATTTTTAGTCATGTGTCTGATTCATAACTCTGATAAATTTGTTTACACTGTAGATAGACATCAACTCTTGGCTGAAACAGAAGCATGTGAAATGTCCAATACCAATTCTACAAGTCTTCAACAAGGTAAGCCTGATCTTGTTGAGGAGAGAGATGCTAAAACCATTTTCAAGCCTGGAAAACATGCTGATGAACTTGTGAAAGTGGACAATGAATCTGTATCAAAAGTTTTAGACTGGTTTAGAAGAAGTTCTAGTACTGAAGATGAGGAACTTGTATCAATGAAGTCCCAAGGCAGGGAGCCCAGAGAGGAAGTGGACGTGTCAATCAGAAGAGCAGTTCTTCCTACAGAACACAGTGGGCCTGGCATGCATGGAACAACAAAAGATACAGAAGAGAGACCATTTGGAAAGATTAAACAACAGAGCAGTATTTCATCTACATCCTTTACTTCAGAAAACATACAGCTGATAAAGGAGAGGGTGAAGCCTAAGAAAGAGGAAGCAAATAAGAAGCAAAATGATAAATTGCTAACTGAATTTGGTTGTACAAGAGTTGAAGAAAAAGAACATGGTCAAGAAATCAAACAACAAAATCTGAAATCAAATCTCTTGGAACATCAAGGGCACAAACTACTGTCTCAGAAATGTGAATCAGAGAAGGCAATACAAGAAAAAAGAAGAATAAGGGAGATCAGAGCTTTCTGGGAAAGGGATAAAACTATACCCAGTCACAGAGAGAAAGGAGTTAGTATCAATACTGATGCATCAGGTGGCTGTGCATTGACAGGTCTCAGAGAAAGTGACAAACTGAAACAATCTGCAGTGTATCTACCTAAGGCATTGCATGATCAGTGCAAGAACACATTAAGAAGTCCTGAAGTAAGTTGTGCAAGCCAGGCGTCAAGAAACAAAAGTCAGCACCCTCTTGAATCTGGACCAGGCTGTGCATTTGGAAAGGCAGAAGGGACACTTCAGTTTGATGAAGTTTGTGACTGTACAGAACTCCCAAAAGCCAGTAACTTGCATCCCAGAGCTGGTGTCACTTCAGTTTCATCAAAAAGCAAAGACAAAGATGAAAAGGAGACTCTTAAAGGAAAAGTTCCTGCTTCTTCCCAACAGAAGCCAAACTTCCAGGTTTTGTCTTTAAAAGAAAAGATGAATGAGAAGTCCAGGAATCAAATTTCAGATCCTTCACACTTCCAGAGTCTGAGAAACTTCTGGGATACTGGAGCTAAATTCCAGAGTAGCATTGACAGGGAAGATGATTCTTTGCCAAATAATACTAGATCAATAATCTATGAAAGAAAATCAAAGGAAGATAAAAAAGGCAGAGATAACATGAGCAAGCAAGAGTTAATTAAACAACAAAACCAAACACCTGAGAGAGAAAAAACACAGAAACTAGATTCTGTAGTATGCAAAAAATCTCTAGGATCTCCTATCCTAAGAGGTCTGAATGTGACACACACAAAAAATACAGACTCTCTCCAGCTGGATAGCCAGCCAGTTATCTCAAAATCACAGGAGAAGATGGGTCTTCCAGAGCATGAAGTTAGAGAATGTACAGATAAAAGCATTGTTTCATCAAAAGATAATCATGTATCCTTGCAGCTCCAGTCATCTGGTGATAAAGATGCTTTAAAGGAGAAAGTAGTAGGTGATAAACTACATTTACCTATAGAAAAAGGGGAAAACAAGACTACTCCTTTGGATAAAGAGGAAGTTGCAGAGACTGTGGATAAAGTTGTTCTACCCAAAGGTGAGCTTGATATATTTAAATCATGTCTAAAGAAGCTAGAAAAGGAAGCCTTGGAGATGTTGTGTAGCTTAAACCTAAAAGAAAGCATTTTAAAAGGGACGCATTTTCAGTCAAATCAGTGCAAGGTCTTTGAGAGAACAGGGCAAGACAGTAATGTTATTTCTCCTGTTTATCAAGGAGAAGAAATAGGCAAAAGTACAGGACAAGTGAATGTGTCATCAACACATAAGCATGAGAACAGAAAAAGTCTCAGAAAGCTGTTTAGGGAATTTGAACCTTTGTATCTACAATATCAGGCAGCAGACAAGGATGATACCCTTGAGGGCTCCCCAAGGCCTCAAGCTGGTTTGGAGAACCTTCTCGAAGAAACCCTTGTATCTCAACCTTCTGAATACAGAAGGGTGGGAATGAAAACATATGATGAGTCAAATAGTATATCACAAAATAACTGCAGTGTAGCATCAGCACACCAAGAAACTACTGGTCCACCTGAAGAGGTCCATGAGACTATAGAGAAGTATGTAGCTGGATCCAAGGTCAACAGTTTGAGTTCTGCTCTACAGAAGCTGCTGGAGGAGGCTTCTGAAGCACCCCTTCCTAAACCCAAATTTGCCGACAGCACAGCATGGGGGACTGCTGAGTATCAAGTTAAAAGGACAATGTGTGAACATGGTGGAGAAGTGCCACAGGAAATCAGTGAGACTGTAGAAAGGTCCGTTGCCCCATCCAAGGCCAGTGGCTTGAGTTCTGCTTTAGAGAGGCTGCTGAAGGAGGCCTCTGAAACGCCCCCTCCTAAACCCAAATGGGCTGACAGCACAGAGCAGAGAACTGCTGTGGTGCAAGACAAAGGCATGACTTATGAGCATGGTGAAGAGGTGCAGCAGGAAATCAGTGAGACTGTAGAAAGGTCTGTTGCCCCATCCAAGGCCAGTGGCTTGAGTACTGCTTTAGAGAGGCTGCTGAAGGAGGCCCCTGAAGCACCACCTCCTAAACCCAAACGTGCTGACAGCACAGTGCAAAGGACTGCTGCGGCACAAGTTAAAAGTACAACTTATGAGTGTGATGGGGAGGTGCTGCAGGAAATCCATGAGATTGTAGAAAAGTCTGTTGCCCCATCTTCAGACAGTGGCTTGAGTTCTGCTTTAGAGAAGCTGCTGAATGAGGCCTCTGAAACACCCCTTCCTAAGCCAAAACATGCTGACAGCACAGTACAGAGAACTCTGGAGGTGGAAGCTAAAAGCATGACCTATGAGCATGGTGGAGAGGTAGCTCAGGAAATCAGTGAGAATATAGAAAAGTCTGTTGCCCCACCCAAGGCCAGTAGCTTGAGTTCTGCTTTAGAGAGAATGCTGAAGGAGGCCCCTGAAACCCCCTCTCCTAAACCTAAATGTGCTGAGAGCACAGTACAGGGGACTGCTGAGGTGAAAGCTATGAGCACAGCCTATGAGCATGATGGAGAGCTGCTGCAGGGAATTGGTAAGACCACAGAAAGATCTGCACAGTCCAACACTGAATACACAGGGTCTGATGTTAATTTTCAGAATCAACCAAAAGAGGTTTCTGAAACACCAGCTTCTGTGCTGGAAAATATAGATAAGAAAATGCATGATAAAATACAGACTAGTGTAGGTATACATGTTCCACATCAACAAGACAGAGATCACCCTCAAGAAATACAAGAAACAGTAGAAAAAACCTCTGTTTCAAATATAGCAAAATTTGGTGAATTCAGTCGCTCTTTAGAAAAACTTCTTTGGGAAGTATCTGCAGTTTCATGTCCAATACCCAGAGACTTATATCAGCAAGAAGAAGTTGAGGATTGTACATTTCCCTCAGAGAAAGGGACTCTATTCATGAGAAGGTCACAGCCATAAAATGCCCTAAGTAGCTATGATACACAAATGAAGATAGTTCTCAAAGTGGGAGCTCCAGAAAAGACCGTCAAAGCCTCAGTTAATGATCTTGCAGTAAGTGAAATTGAAGCTTCTGGTCTTAAAAGAGATGGAGCTATTAACAAAATAGGGGAGAGAAACATGGTTTCATTTCATCTTTGTTCCTTGGAAGGCAAGACAAATATGGTCGCAATCAAACCATTTGAGATAAATGAAAAAGGGATGATTGAAAGCACGTTCTTGGAGGCTTCTGAACAGAATTCAGAATTTCAAGCACTGATGAATTTCGGAAGAACAACTACAGCACTTAAAGATGAGATCAACTACCCCCAGCCAGAAGAATCTCAGTTCTGCTTAATGTCTCAACATGAGGATAACAATGAAGAGGAAGGCAGCAACATAAATTTGGGATCCAAGTTTTCAGATGAAAACTCTGATTCTCACTCTGGAACTCTGAATAGAAGTTCAACTCATGAGCTATCTGATTTCTAAAATTCATGGTGCTGAGTTAAACATAGCTACAATAATTATTTTTTTTTTATCCAGTTTGAAATATATTAGTGGAAAGTCTGTGTGACACTTTCTTAATTGAGAGATTTGAATATTTTCTTGGGAGGGGTGGGAAGAACTAATTAAGTTGTTTGATTGGAAAGTATTTAACAGACACATACTACATTTGGGTAAGCCTTTTTGGTAAGGATAGTTTAGCAGCATGAATCAATTCAGTCTTTGTGATTTACACTTTTCTTATCCCATGTGACATTGCCTTCAAATTAATAAATTTGTAACACTCAATCTAGTAATCCCTTCAAATACACTGGATTAAAAGAGGAAAAAAATATCAGTGGCTCACTTGATTCATTCTTTAGTTTGACTGGCTAGTCTCTGAAGATAGATAAATACTTATCAGTGGAATATCTAGATATAAGGATAATACCAAGACCCTGTGCTGTTTCATTTATCATTGCTGCCTGTTGCGCTGAAAATTGGCCATATAAATGAAGAGGTCCATTTACTAGGATTCACATTATTTGGTTGAATGGTAGTTCTAGTCAATGTATAGTGTATGATAGTCATCAAAGAGCTTAAGGTGGAGGAGATAACTTAACCTTTTTAGTCTCATACTGAGAAACTGGGAATATCTTCTTCTGAAGAAGAATCTGAGAAATGTATGAAGTTCCCAGGGCCTGCCAATTTACATCTGAGCCTGTTTTGAAAGAGGTTTCTGAAGAAAGTTGGTGAAAACTCAAGATAAGTGAGGAAAAATCAAACATAATGTGGTTTCACCCATAATTACGAGCAGCAACACTGATTTGTTGGTGGAGGGGAAGGAAAGAGAGATAGGGAGGAAAGAAAGTCTTAAAGATTTCTGAAGGAGCTAAGTCTGTCTCTGCTTTTGGAGAAAATTGCATAACTTCAGGGTTCCAAATACATCCACAGCTTGTTTTTTGTTTTTGTTTTTT